CGGTCCCTTTTAATGACTAGAGGAGAGAAGTATAGGATACAGAAGAAACCAACTATTTATCAAAAAGAAAAATCAAATAATAGTTGGATTAAATGATAAACGATTTATTTTGATTTAAATAAAATTTTAAATTTAAGATTTTGTGTATATATAACAGTTTTTATTGAGAGATTCATCTATTATTTTTAGGTACACGATCTGAATCCATTCAAATTAATCGGGGTGAAGCCCGGATACCAAACAGAAAATCAAAAAAAAAAAAATTATCAAAAAGAAAAAAAAAAAAAGAAGGAAGAAACCAACCGGGCAGAGAGGAATTAACGTGAGAAAAGGAAATTTCAGAATAGTTTAATCTAACTTTTTTTTTTTTTTTAACTACAACTTGTTCTGTACTAAATTCTGAATAATGATGGTAGTGAAAATTATAAAATGTATTTTTATTTCTTAAGAAGTAAAAAATTGGGCAATGACTTACAAAAGATAACATTCAAACCTAAAGTAGTTTTGGATTCATATATGAGTGAAGGTTTTCTCATATTGATTAAGACATGAATTCATGGACTTGATAATTAATTTTCCCTTTCGAATTTAAGATAACTTCTAAAACATATTCCCTCTATTTATTTTTAGCAGTTATAGTTAATTTTTTTATTTTTTAGATATAAATTTCAATTAAATATATAAAATATTTTAAATTAATTTTTAATGAAATAAAATTTAACGTATTCAAAAATTTAACAAACAAAATTAATAAGATGACATAAAATATTAAAGAAACTTAAATAAGATTGTGTTGAGGCGCTATGCTAAGACACTAATCATGGCAACATTGAGGGTATGTATGGTTAAAGCCAACTTTCTCAAGAAAGTTTTTCTTGGGAAAGTGATTGGTTTTAGTTTTGTACAAAAAATTATAACATATTGTATATAAAGTTATTAATTTTTATAATAAAATTTTGTTAAAATTTTATTGAGTTATTAATTTGTTGTAATTGGTAAGAACTTAACATAAGAAAAGTATTGAAAAAGTTAATAGAAAAAGTTATTAAATAAGTCCTATATAAGAAAATTTGTGAGAAGCTTTTTTTCTTTTAAAGAAGTGAGAAGAGAAATTTATAGGTTGAGAATTATGTTAGAGAAAATGAAAACTAAAAATATTACTTTTATTTTTTATTTATTATATTTGGAAATCTATAAGTACCAAAATATTCTTATAAACTCGTAGAAGGTGATATTTTCCAAAAAAAAAAAAAAAAAAGGAATTCAAACACACCCTCAAGTGAAATTAAAGGAAAGTCAGTATCTTCAACTAAAGTATGTACTTTTGTTGTTACACTTAATTATTGGGTAATGACTTTTTTATACATAAAAAATTAATCATTTGGTGTTTTAGAAAGTTTAAACCCTTAATCTTATCATAAATCAAGGTTTTTAGGTTTATAAGTACCAACTCGGCCAATCTTTTACTGATACTATACAATAATTATTGGGTAATAATGTGTGTATAATTTTTTTATACAATTTTTATTTATAAATTTTTATTTATCATTAAATGAGTAGAAATATATAATATTATAAGTGCTAATAGGGTAAAAAAAATCAATTATTAAATAACATGTAAGGTTGTATGTATATACTTATTTAATTATGAGATAATGATACGTATGTAAATCATTCTATACAACTTTTATTTACAAATTTTATATGTTATTAAATGAATAAATGTATATAATATTATATGTGTTAATAAAGTGAAAAAAAAAGAGTCAATCATTAAATAATATAAAAAATTATAAAAAAAAATTGTCTCATATTCATTTTCTTTAATTATTTTTCTTTTGTGTTGACTTTAACTTCATTTGAGAGTGTTGCACACAACATTTTTTCCAACATCATATATTATCTAAAAATATAAATTTATTATAAATAATTAATTTTAATAAATACCATATATATTTTTAATAATTTTAATTAATACTTTTAAAAATTTTAGGATAAGAAAAAAAAAAGAAAAGAAAAAAAACCTAACAGCACAACACAGCACCCCAAACAAAGCCTTTATTTGCGTGAGTATTTATAGTTGGCTTAATTTACGTGTTATCTCAAAAATCCATTACGCCTTGCAGACATTTTGCCGCGCTACTTACCTTGCACGAAGCGAGAAAAAGTTTAAGAAACTTTGAGACTTTAAGTGAGAACTAGGAAATAGAATGCTGAAGAAAACAAGAGAATCACTAGAAAACAGCTATACTATAGATATAATTTTACATAAGGTTTATAACCTTATAATTATAATATGATATTAAATAAATATAATATAATATTAATTAAGTATATAAATATAATATTATAGGTAAACTTATAAATAAAAAAATAATTATATAACAATATATTATCTTATAAATTTATAATATCATATAATATTATAATTATAATACTTTTATACAAAAAAGAAATTAGGTCTCTCAATAAAATAAGGAATGATAGATCACAAAAGAAGTTGGTTGGTATTGAATTTGAGATTTTTATTTTGTAATTATAGTTTTGTCCTTTTTATTATAATTCCATAAATTTCATTTAAATAATTTAAAATATCATAATTCAATTTTATATATTACCCAATTTTACATAATAATGAATATTTAGATTTTATTTAAGAGTATTTTACATAAATTTTTCATACAATACGTTCTAAAAAATTGTAAATTTATTATTTTTAATTAATTTTAATTAATATTTTTATATTTTACTAATTTCAATTAAATATTTTATATATTTTCTAGATAGTAAAATATATAGTTATAGACATAACATAACATGATATATAATTATAGACATAATCCAACATAGCACTCCAGATGAAGCGTTAGGGTTGGTTGTATTGTGTTGTATTATATTATTATTATTTTTTTATCAAAAAAAATATTATTATTTTTTTAATAAAAGTAATAGTTAGTATGTTAGTATTATTAGATATTAATAACTGAAGATTCGATTTTCAGACTGGGTGAATAGTCCACCTGCCTTAGTGAGGTGCGCGACCATCAAGGCGATCATCAAGCCACTTGGTGGAGTTCATATTATATTATATTGTACTAATGGATTTTTTTTTTTCGATTTTTCTTATTTAAAATTATTAAAAATGTATAAAACAGTAATTTAATTGATTATTTATAATAAATTTACCTTTTTGGTTATCGTGCCAATGAAAAAGGTACTGCGCGTAAAAAATTCTCAACGGGAAGTTCTAAATTTTTTCAAAAGTCATTGGCATTATTAATGACTTCTAAACATTTGGGACATTCGACATTTTTTTCAAATGGTTCCACCACGGATATTTATTTATAGTGGTTCATGCGCCTCTACATCATTTCCTCATCAACAAGCTCAGTATTGTGAGGAAGACAGGTCTCTCATTCCTAAGAGGCAAATGTCAAATTTAAGAATTCGATTTCATGTCCTGCTTTTATTTTCCAGCTTTGTGATCCTAACAACCTCCCAACATGATCCGCTGAAGTCCAAACAGAAACATGTTGCCATGTTTGTGTTTGGAGATTCGCTCTTCGATCCTGGAAACAACGACTTCCTCAACATTAGCGTTACCCAGGGCAAGGCAAATTTTCCACCATATGGGGAGACCTTTTTTCGCTATCCCACAGGAAGATTTTGCGATGGACGCATAATTCCCGATTTTACCGGTAAGTCAGCTGTTAAATCCTCCCCTTTTTTTTTTTTTGAAAGTTGAAATCAAATAGTCACCTCACAATGGAAGTTTTTAATTGTCATGTCCTCTGCAGCCTCGTTTACAGGCTTACCACTATGGAGACCTTATTTAGATCCTGCTAATCATAATCTGGTTGTTGGAGCAAACTTTGCTAGTGGTGGAGCTTGCGTTCTTGTTGAAAATAACCCATATACGGTATTTCATGGATCCTTTAATAATCTGCTTGATTCCAACATCTTATAGAATGTCTGTTTGCCAAACTTTTCGAGTGCTAAATCTATTACTTCTAGAATACAGATCATTTGATGTTAATTAAGCTTCTGTGAATTTGATGTGATTTTTACAGTGGCATAATGTAGACTTGGTTTCACTGATAAGAATTTTTTGCAGCTCAACCTGCAAATACAACTAGGCTTCTTCAAGGAGGTGGTAAATTTGTTAACACAGCAGTTGGGTGATACAGACACCAAGAAGCTGTTAAGGGAAGCCATCTACATTTCTAGCTTAGGGGGTGTGGATTACATGACATTTGCCACTTCTTCCTCTAATGTTACTGAATCAGAGATGCAAGAATATGTTGACATTGTGATTGGCAATATAACAGAGGCAATGAAGGTATGCACTAGAAGAAGAAGAAGAATAAACAGAGTCTGACATTATTTCTTTAACAGAAATATTTTTTACAGTTTGCCTTACACTTAAAAACACCAGTTTAATGTTATAAAAAACAGAAAGACCCTTGATGAAATATCATTCTCTCTGTTTTTATTTTATTTTATTTTTTTTAATTTATTCATTTTTTCATTTCTATTGGGTGATCAGGAAATATATGAACTAGGTGGAAGAAAATTTGCATTTCAAAGCGTAGGGCCTTTGGGTTGTCTTCCACTTATAAGGGCAAGGTACAACTCCTCTGGTAAATGTGTCGAATTTCTCCAAATCCTCGCAACAATGCACAACAATGCTCTAGCAAAAGCCGCTGAGAAATTAGAAATCAAGCTATCTGGATTTAAGTATTTAATATTTGATTTCTTCACTTCACTCATGGATAGAACAAATAACCCCACAAAATACGGTATATATCTGTTGCAGACATTCAATTTCTTTTTATTGCATTCTTTTAATGTTCTGAGGATGTTTTCTGATACAATATTGTGAAGGTTTCAAGGTGGGTGACAATGCATGCTGTGGTGGAGGAGCATACCATGCCGGTGCTTGCGGATGGTTAACAGAAGAATACGAACTATGCAGCGACCCTAATGAATTTGTGTTTTGGGATGCTGACCATCCTACCGAACACTGCTACTCTCAATTAGCTCAGTTGTTGTGGAATGGAACAGAAAACGTTACTTGGCCTCTTAACATGAAGCAACTGTATGAACTCGATATTGACACCGAACTTTCTTCTCAGGACATTGATCTTATAGCTGTTGGTAAATAAAAGCATTGGTAACTCTACCACCAAATCACATGATTGATGGTAATAAACACTCTTTATTACTAAGGAGTACAAGTGTAATTACTCGCGGTTCTTAAGTTAAACAATTACATTAAGTTGCATTAATATATATGTTCTTCTCTTTTGTCTTATTCTATAAATAAGACCAACTTTATTAGGTTCATTTATCTCCACTACATATGTATTTGTGTAGCTTATTTTAATCCTATCTCTCTTGTGTGGGAGTCCTACGTATACATGTGAACCCCTAACAGAGCAAAGACAGTATATCTACTGGTTGACCATATGATGTATAGGAGATTGTATATGGGGATAGAAGCACAGCAAATCTTGTGATTAGTATTTGTTTTGACTGCAAATATTTTAAATACCAAACACAAATTCTCAAAGGCCAAAGGGTGACTGCAAATACCCAACTGAACTTCTATAACTGATAACTCTTCACAAAGTTGATCTGTTCATTCAAACCAGTTAGTCAACCACAGGCTAGCTTCTTTCTTTCTTTCTTCATCTCTCTCCTCTCTTTTTTTTTTTTTTTTTTTCCATTTTTTTTTGCTCTTGCAAGGTTAATTTATTGTTTGTATAGTGGTTTAAACAATTAACAATTTTATATCATTTAATGAGTAAAAATATTTAAATTATTAATAATATTAATTATCAATTATCAAATTAGACAATATTACTAACTATTAGTTTCACATAGTTAAACCAAATAGCTTCAAGTATGTCTAGATCCACAGTCTAGCTTCTTTCTTCCTTCATTTCTCTTTCTTTTTTTTTCAGTTTTTTTTTCCCTGCAAGGTTAAGTGCCTCTACTTTGCAGGGAGACGAATTGATTGGCACAAAGGGGCTGGATGTTAGTTTTGCGTAGTTGATCGGTGGAATGTTGGAAGTTGTAACTTCAAAATCACAACATACATAAGTGACATGTGACTACCTACAGATTGAAGCGCACCACTGCACCAGTCCCTTTCAAAAGACTAGAGAAGAGAAATAAAGGGTAAAGAAGAAATCAACTGTGCAGAGAGGAATGTGAGAAAAGGAAAATTTAGAATAGTTTAATCTCATTCATTTTTTTTTTTTTTTAAATTAAGTTACAACTTGTTATGTACTCACTTCTGAATAATGTTTCGCGGTTATAAATATGCTACCCATTTTTATTTCTTCTTTCAAAAATGACAAAATTTGGACAACAACTTGCAAAAAATAACACTCGAACCTATTAAATAAAAATAATGTTAGGTCTACGTTTACACGAGTGGTGGTTTTCTCATGTCCATTAAGATATATAAATTCATCAACCTGATAATAAACAACTAATCTACCTTTTCGATTTTTAGGTGACATCTAAAGCATATGTATTAGGCTTGTCACTCTAGTCTCCCCTGCGGGTTGGTTGCTTCTAGGGCTGGGCATTTGGAACCGAACCGACAGTTACCTAGAAACCAAATCGAAAAAATGAGTTTGATTCGATCTTAATGATTTTTGGTTCTTACTGTTTTGATTTTGATATTAATCGAATAAATTTTGATTTGATTTTGGTTGAACCTTTCAAAAATCAAAAATCAAAAGTAAGCCTCTTGAAAATCGAAATTAAGATAAATATAATAAAATATGAGACAAAATATAATTTATTATTAAAAAAATAGTTTATTAATATTTATTTAGTGAAAACCAAAACCAAACCAATTTTATTAGTAACCGAACCGATCAATTTATGAAAATTTTGATTCGGTTTTGGTTCTCAAAATTGAAAAAAAAAAATTTTTTTTGATTAGTTTAAAACCGGTTTTGTTTTAACCAAAACCGGTTTTTACCCAGCCCTAATTGTTTCATATGCACCTGGAAATTGAAGTAAAGGCCCAAACTATATAATAGATATCAACGACAAGTATAGATATCCTTGACATTTTTTATCATCCTTTGGTCAACTTTACTTGATTATAATATATATATTTTTATTAAGTAGGGATTCATTTATATATAAGTTTTATAAATTATATTTATATAAAATCTCAATTATTTATCTTTTCAGTTTAAATAGTTAAAATTTATTATGAAATTTTAAATGAAAAAGATAATTATCAATAATAAATATTAATAAATTTCAATAATTAAGGGTGAAAAGATGAATAATTGAAATTTTGTGTAAATGTAATGTATAAAATTTGTGTGTAAGTACATTCTTACTCATAATAATAATAAGTGCCTAAACAAAGATATTCACAAAAGTAAAAGTTAAATAATTTGTGTACCTTCCAATTTAATATGCCTTATGATATCTATCTAGTTCAGTTATTAAAATGTAATATAAATACATTTAATTTATGTATCTTGTATGCATAGTTATATTTTTAAATTTATTTGCTTTTCATTTTATATCAAAAAATTATAATTTTTTAATAAATATGTTATATGATGTATTAAATAAAAAATATACCAATCAATATCCATTTAGTTAAGGTAGTTAGTGACCAAAGAGAATTTGTTATTGATTTATTATAATTGAAAAAATATATTTATCCAAAATAGTTGTCAAAATAATGAGAAAAAATTCTCAGTCCATTAAATTTTATCAAAGAGAATTGATAAAATGAAACATAAATATAAAAGAAACTTAAAAAAGATGGTGTGAAAATACGATGCTACGGTGCCAACTATCAGAGCAACATTGTAAGAGAAACTAAAGGGAAGTCATTTTCCATTAAAGTACTTTTTTCTTTTTTTGTCACGTTTAATGATTCTTCCTTTAGGGGTTGACTTTTTCTTTAGTATTTAAAATGGGTGGTCCCATAATTTTTTTGTTTTATTTTTTTATATAATTTTTATATATTATTAAATGAATGAATGTATTTAATATCATAAGTTTCACATAAATTAAAAAAATTAATTATTTTAATAATACGTCATATTATATCAAAAAAAATAATAATAAATTATATAAAAAGTATTTTCCATTTAAAATTGGAACAATAAAGGAGTTGTCTCAAAAATCCATTACGCCTTTGCAGACGGACGGCAGTGCTACTCGCTTAACAAAAAGTAAGAAAGAATTTAAGAAACTTACGACTTTAAATGAAAATTAGGATGAAATACTTAGGGGTATAATTAGTATATATTTTGCTTTAATATATTGTATAATATATTTATTAAAAAATTATTTTTTAATATAAAATTAAAGATAAATAAATTTAAAAATATAACTATATATGCAAAATGTAAAACTAATTAAAATTATTGTATTTATATTATATTTTAAATTTACATTTTATATTTTATTTTAATTAAATTTAATATAAAAATTTATACAAAATTAATTAAAATTATTGTATTTAATATAATTTATCAGGTCCACTAAAAATATAGGATAAAAAAT